CCCTTCTAGCTATAGAATACATCAATGGGAAAATTTTAAGAAAAATTCACAATCATATACTGGTACAAACACTATAGGAAATGACACCAAAAAATATAAAAGAAATGGCTTATGCTGCAAATAGTTTTCACACTCTTCTCTCAAAACTCAACGAACGTCCAATGATCATACAAGAAAATAGAAATGGTCCATCAGCAAAAGAAAGAAGGGAAGTTTAAACTACAGAGCTACAGCTGAAATTACTTATCCTTTTTTCCACAATACCAAAAATGATAACTTCATTTGTGGTTAAACGGATCTAAAATAACTCCCTTTCGAATAGAAACCAAAATATGATAGGCTCAAGAGCCCCAATTTACAAATTTAAGCTCCCATTTGGCCATATATTTTGGCTTCATTTTTTCAATTTTTTTTTTTGAAAACATTGTTTGTTTATGAAATATGATCATGTTTCGGGAAAAAAAATTTGAAGTTCCCAAAAACTAGTTTAGGGCAGTTTTTGGATGAAAACTTTTCTTCTCTCTCACTTGTAACTTTTTTTCAAATAAAATATATGTCCAAATACAACTTCAACTTTCAAAAATTATTTTTCAACACAACTTCAAAAACTATTCTTTCAAGTTTCAATCAAATCTATGTCCAAGCGCTAGCTTATTTTTTCTAATTTCAAAAATATTCTTAAGTGCCCCAATTTGATATAAACTCAAACTAAGAAATCCACCACTGGGAAAATTAGTGGATCAAGTATCCAATTAGCAGGCTAAAGACAAACGTTAACTTACAGATAAAGTACAGTAGAGAGAAAGAGAACTTACAGAGGGAAAAGTATTGCTGGTATAGGAAATGAGGAGACAAGTTTTACCCACTGCTCCGTCGCCGACGGTCACACACTTTATGAACCGAGACCCACTCATTCTTTATTTATTCTATAAGCTTAATCAGCCTCAAGTTTTCCGGCAACACCTTCAAATTCTCGTCGTTTTCTTCTCTACAAATGACAATGTTTTTGCTCTCTCTCTCTCTACAACTACTCTTCTAGCCGGGAGTCGTTAGGAGTTTGGTTATTTGTTAAGTAATTTAAAAGACAAAAACAAAATGAAAAGTAAAAGAAGTTGACAATTTTAAAGTGACACGGGTTCTAACTATCTAATATAATGCAACGAACTAGATATTTGAGTATTGATTTCAGCTGGTTTCTTTCAGATTGAGGTATTAAAATGAACTGTGTGATCTACACATTATTAAACTATTGTGGACATGAATTATAAAATCCATATTGAGGATAGAATAGGGAAAAAGACATCACCTAACTCAACAGCCACATTCAATTTCATACTTGGAAGAAAGCGGCTTTATTCCGTGTTTGTAAATAAATTTTTATTATTTAATTATAATTATTTGAAGGGAACCTTTGGGTGATCTATTGGTTACGAGTTCAAGTTGTGAAAGCACCAACTAATATTTATATTAGAATAGATTATCTACATCAGACCTTTTGGGATACGGAGGTTTCTTGAACCCTGCGTGAGGGATACCTAGCAAAGAGTTAAAAGCAGCTAGTGAGAGTAGGGGCATTTTCTGTTTTTTTTTTTTTTTTTTTTTTAAATTTTGCATACAAGTCAGCTATCTTTCCGAGGATTTGTTGTAGATATTGACTGCATAGTTTTTCAATATTGAATATATATATATATATATATATATATATATATATATATATATATATATAAGTGGGCAATAGAAAAGTGATGTGACACCTCTCTTAGGCCAAGAAACCTATTAATTTTTTTTCTCCTTTTTTGAGTTTTTCATCGTTTTATTCATTTATCTTATATTAAAAATTCTATTTTAATAACTCATACCTCTTTACTTTCATAACCTACACTTTTAATAATCTCAATAACTCTCGTGCACTTCATATCCATAACCCTCAAATGATTAATGTATAAGTTTATGATAATTTATTATAGTATTTCTCCATATATATCTATATAAGGACTTCTATATTTTAAACAAGATATAGAGGAGCATACTAACCTAAAGTATGTGATAAGTCTTTTACCTCCTTTTTTTTCCTTTTTTTTTTTTTTACATCTTTCTTCTTTATTTTTCTTTCTCATAAATTTTATTCTATGTGAGATTTTTCAATATTCTATATTATAGGTTGAGTATTAGATATGCTTAATATTAAGTTGATGAACCTTTATATGTTTTCTGCATATCATGACGGTTGATGCTGGACAGTTTAAAGCAAATTATAGAGTATCCGAGTCAAAGAGAAAATATTTGACTGATCTATACAAGAAGAGTGAAGTAAAAAGTCAGGAGCACAAAGACTGATTTAAGTGTTCTCTTTCCTTTTTAGTGCTTTGATTTCTAGGTTGCCACCTAATTAGAATTCTTTCTACATGCTCTTTTGCTCCATAATTTACTTTGAGCCCAAGCTTATTCATATCGTCTCAGAGATATTCTAGATGAGGTCATAGTTGCAAGTAGAGTTTAACCGATGATCTTTCTTAATCAAGTTATTTGTTCTTGATGTTGCCAATCATATAAAATATTTTATGGAGATCACTCTCAAATTTTAGGATCAGTCAAAAAATTACAGTTCCAGTATGATGCCGTTATAATTGCAAGTGGGAAGGATACATATATCTTTTTATCTAATCATGTGACCATCGACACACTATTTGGCCATTTGTTTATTGCATTAGTATTCCATAGTTATTTTGCTATAGCAATATAGTTGCTGGGACTCGGACAAAGTCCTTCCATTCTCATCAAATTTGGTCTTTCTTCGCTAAAAACTAATTTTCTTTTAATAATATATAATTTAAAATAAATATACTGAAATTTGATACTGGCCAAGATTGTTTAACTATTTGTACTTAGTCTGCTCATACAAATATTAAATGAATAGGATCATTTGATTTCCAATATAAAAATGTGTAACTTACAACTTTTAGTCTTTTGGGTAATTAAAGAAAACAATAAAGAGAGAGAGAGAGAGAGAGAGAGAGAGAGAGAGAGAGAGAGAGAGAGAGAGAGAGAGAGAGAGAGAGAGAGAGAGAGAGTTTCATGTGTAATGTTCATGTACCCCACCACTTATAGTTGTCACAATGTGTAAATTTCGTGTATTCGTTCTTCGAAGTATACATATAGTGATATCAATACGGATTTAATATTAACGTTTAATTTGTCAACTATGAATGATTTTTATTAGACCAGAACATCATTTCCTCCCATAAATAACTTTTTCTTAATATAATGCTATACGATATTATTAAAGAGGGAATATTAGAAAAATAAATAGAAAAAAAAGCAAAAAAAATAAAAAAAAAATTGTGAAGAAAAGAGGAATGGCTAATTTTCATATTTATAGTAGATGGGCGAATATTTATTTGTTTTTTTTAATTATTTCACATATCTTCTTCTTCTAAAAATATTGAGAAACTTTCAAAAAATTTTAGAAAATTAAAGTCATATATGCATATATTAAATTTACTATTATTTTTATTACTGCGCGAAGCGTGGATAAATATACTAGTTATCAATACAGTTAATATCATAGCAAATTAATTATTATATTTATTGAATTACCAAGTAATACTTTACAAGAAATGTGTTTATAATTACCTTATAGGTTACTCTTATATGATTTTTAAATAAATTTTTGTGTATCAAAAGGATCTTTATATTTCTAGAGATTTGGGTCCCATCCACAAGTTGTGTCGAATAATGAAAATTTAATATGTTTTATAAAACAATAAAAGAAGAAGAAGAGTATTATAGAAAAAAATATAGAGAGAGAATTCTTATTGATTTAGGATCAATTACAATGGAATAAAATCATTTTTATAGGGAAAAAGTGACTTAGCCACTAAGTAACAAACCCTAAAATCTCTCCAAAGTATAGACATTCACCTTAAATACAATTCTATTTATAACATTCCCCCTTGAATGTCTATTCAACAGACAGTTCCTCGTTAAAACCTTAACTAAAATAATAACCAATGGGAAAAAAATTCTAGAGAAGAAAAAAGAGTACACATATTTAGAAATACGCCTTTAGTTGCCTCGTAAAAAACCTTGCAAGGAAAGCCCAGTGGGACAAAACCTTGTAAGGAAAAAATAACGCGTATTAACTTCCCCTGATGAGAGCATCAATTAAGATATTGAGTCTTTGCATTCCAATCTTGTGCACCATCTTCAAAAAATTATTGGTATAGATTTGGCGAATAAATCATCCATATTAACTCTAACGAATATGTTGCACCTTGAAATAATCATTCTTGATAGATATATAATGTCGTGGAATGGCCTTTTCAATATCTCCATAGAGGTAAAAATTCTCGCTATCACATTATCATGCTTATAGTTATAGCAAGATACAAATATGCACAAATTGCACTTAAGATGTAGTACTTCATGACCAAGAATTCTATATGCTTTAAGCAATTTAAATCCTTCAGGGATTGTCATATAAGTTAAGTCATACAAGCCATAGACTTTATAAGCATATCAAGTTTTCATGTCATGCTAGAGATATAAAATGCATGAAAGTGATTGCATATATTATTGACTTTATACTTTCAAGTAATTGAACTACATGTCCAAAACTACATGTCTTTCATATAAAACCAATTCTATTCGAATTTTGTCTCTTCCATTTGGCCAATATTTTTGTTTCTATATTCGACAGACATAAGATCCTCATCTATACTTAGCGTTATCATAGATGTTGTCGACGAATATTTTATATCGGTTCTAGCCTCCTTTTTTTTTATAAAGACGTAATATAGAGATCTCTTCATTCATATATTCAGGTACCTGAATCTCTCCTGAGATTTTATGAAGTGTTATGTCATGTGATCTTCTAGATCACTTGCCTCCTTATTATGACCATTTTGATCATTTGCCCATCTTCTTTATCATGAATTTTATTTGTAACTGATTTGTCTATACGCTTTAATCGTACCATAGATTTTGTCCTTCTAGGACTTATTCTAATAAGAGCATTTGCAATGAGAATATAGTTACTTTCTTTGGGTCAGCAAATGCGTCTAGCATGCTTTCCAATATATTGTAGATGGATTATCTTTTTATGAACTTCAAGTTCATATTATCTTATTCGAGAATCTAGATGTACAAATAATATTTCATTCACGTAACTTTTTCTCAACTTTTATCTTGTCTCCCACTCATATTAGAAAAACTAACTTTCTTCCTCAATTTTGAAAACTCACATTTGCGTGTTATGGTGTTAATCAAAATATACACCGCACATCAATAATAATAAGATAAAATTATTTGGTTCCTGATCCTAAACCACTAGTGAGGGGAGAATGTAATATACTTTCATATATAACGTATATCAAACTGATATAGATAACTTTGTAGATAACTTTGTTCTCATAAGTAATAGTTTAGCTATTAAGTGGAGGCACTCAATAAATTATTTTGCTAAACCAACTGTGATGTAAACCAACATATCAGGATGTCACGACCCGGATTTTTCACCCTCGGGAGTCGTGATGGCGCCTACTAGTGAATGCTAGGCAAGCCAATCATTCCAAATATTTTACCTTTTTTCCATTTTAATCCTATAACAGTTGTGAATTAACATTATATAAACAACGGAAATAATAAAGCGGAAGAATGAAATGTAACAACTTAAAATAATACCGATACAATTCCATAAACATAAGCTACCCAGAACTGGTGTCACAATCTCACAGACTGTCTAGGAGTACTACAAATAGGGGTCCGAAGGATAAATACAAAGTTGTTTCTGAAATACATAGAAGAAACAGTATGGAAAGATAGAAGGAGACGCCAAGGCCTGTGGACGCCTGCAGGACTACCTCGGGTCGCCTGATGGACTGAAGGCAGCAACCTTACTGTGGTCCAAAAGCTACAGCACTGGGATCTGCACACAGTGCAGAGTGTAGTATCAGCAGAACCGACCCCATGTGTTGGTAAGTGCCTAGCCTAACCTCGGCGAAGTAGTGACGAGGCTAGGACAAGACTACCAAATAAACATGTGCAGTTATATCATATGCAGCAAGTAATATTGACAGAAACTAGCAGTTAAAGATGGGAAGGGGAAACATGTTGCGGGGAATATCATGTACAAACAAAATCTCAGTAAAGAAGTGAAAGGAACACGGAAATTCCACTGTAAGCAAGAATAAGGAAATCAAAGACAAGTGCACGGCATCACTCTTCGTGCTTTTACTCTCGTCCTCACCA